CACCTCATCCACCTGAATGCAAAGGACAATGAGGGAGAGACTCTCGAGAAAGGACATCGCAAGTTGCGAAGATATGATTTTGTAATAAAGCAAAGTAAGTCAACGACTTCCTCTTCAGCAGTGCACGATATTAAATAAGCCATTTGTATTAACGTTTTCCTCAGTTGCCTTGCCTTCCACTACCCAATTCCATATTCATTTCGCGAAAATCCATTATTGGATTTTACCAATCGCTGTGCCAATTCCCATAATTTCCCAATTGAAATTCATGGCCAATGGACACTCGATATATGCAAAAGCGGTATTATTTCCATACCTTTTAGCATATTAATTAGCTGACCAAATAGCTGGCCTAATTAGTTTCCAATTGAAACAGACAAGTGCAAACAGAATTTGCATTAATATTAAATCTGAATGGCAAACAAAGAATTCTTTGGTAGATGTTAATAACTCAGCAAAGGAATTTTAGCAGAAGTTCTTTAATTTTTGTGAAAATCAGTTTGGAAAGCAGAAAAGACTAGCACCTAGCAGGAGTAGGCAATGCCGGAGGAAGGGATAAGCCACAGACCGCCCGACCACTTAATCAGTGACGTGAGCTCTGCAAACTGTCAGCTGCAGTTTCCGCTGCAGCAACCACAGCAAACCACATCAAACCACACGTGTGACAGCGCACCACAAAACACAACCATCGCAAAAGGCGATTAAAGACATTTCAGTTTAATTGGTCATTTTTCCATACACACATGAAAAAACAATCGACTATGAAAGGTGTGGAAAAAATGCATTTCACTTTAAAGTTACTTTAAAGGATTAAAACTGAAACAGTCAGCTAATGCATATGTTAAGTTTAATAGTAGGTTTTAAAATGTAGCCAACATTCCTCACATTGTTAAATTTATTTGTTTTAGTAGCAGTAGAAATTCTAGGGAAATGGCTGCCATCTGTATGTTCCATGCCAATTATTTTCGCCATTAAATATTTTGCATTTATGTTTGCTCAATATTTCCGTCATTGCCAACTGAGTGCCTGTGGCTAGATGTCTGAAAAACATTAAAATTAATATGACAACTATCAGCCACTCGTAAAAGGCTCCCACACAAGTTTGCCAATTAAAACAGATTTATTCACATTTCCCATGAAAGCAAATTGTTTAGCCTGGGAAATCGCCAAAATCCGCGGTACTCAGGTAACGAAAAGCCGAGGCGAAAGTTTCCAGCTCCCGTCACACCGCCACTCCCTGGGATGCAATTAATTTGCAACATGCGGAGAGCTCCTGCTCCTCGGATTCTGCACATGCAGAACTTTGGCCGCAGTGGCTGATGGTGCCGCCGAAACTTCAAGTCTGATAAATTGAATCAAGTTTGCCGCCTACGGGTACAGTAGCCCAGGGTGCTACTCGCTGGCAAATTGCAGTTAATGGAATCCGTGATTGAAATGAGGTCCTGCAGGGATGCGGTCAGGTTAAAAGGATATTTTACATTATTTTTATTGCATTTGTGGCCCTTTTCATGGAAAAAGTAGAGATTCAAAGCTCGAGGTTTCTCGCGGTATGAAGGCTAATGGATCTAATTTATAAAATTTCAAAAATATATTTGAAGCAAATTAACCAAATGAGGGAAGTTTCCTAAAATGATTTTAACAGCTTTTTCTCGCAGCTCAAAAACGCTTTGAAATTTCTCTGCGTAATATTTTCTGGCTTTTGAGTGATGTCCTTTTCCTGTTAGCCAAAAGTTTGAAGTTCCCAGAAAGAGAAATGAAAGGGGAGCTTGTCCAGTAAGCTGGCAACTGTCGACTGCAGTTTTAGCCAAATAAAAATGGCAGGGGCATAAACTGAAATGGGAGCTGTTGAAAAGGCAGCACGGCTATGAAAGCTTTTATCCTGCAATTTATTGCCAGCTATTAGTATATATGTCAAAATTTGTTTGGTCTAATTGAAAATGAATTGCTTTTTAGGTAACCCGAGTGTTTGGCTCCAGTCCGACGTGCGTCCCTCTTGTTCAGAGTTCGTTTCCAAACGAGGCTTCTTTTCATCAAGGAATCTCCATGCCCCTCAGCCTGTTGCTTTTTGAGGAATTCTCTGTTAAAGTCTCTTGGGATTTCAGGGCGCTTAGGTGCGAAATTTTGGCAAAGAGCTTGCCATGAATTATAAAACATCACAAGACTTTTTAAGGCTTTGTCTTAAATGTTGGCCTTGGGAAAAGGATAAGCGAATCTGAGTTTTCTCTGTGCCACTTCGACTTCTTCAAAAGTGTTAATCAAATAGTTGTGGCTGTGTTCTGTCTTTCTTTCATTCGAATGAAGTGAAATAAAATAGCTCTTGGCAAAACAATCAATCAACACCTTATGACAAGTCCAAATGCACATTTAAAACCTAGAATCATCCCAATTCTGAACTTATTAATGGCTCTGATGACTGACAGCCTAGAAATGTGGTAAAATTCGATTTCGTTTCAGCCGGCATTTGGCTTTCATTAGGTCAAGAACCTCTGGCTTGAAGCAACAGAAGGAAAATTACAGGATTGAAACAAAGGCCAAAAGCCGTAAAGCTAAATGAAGCAAGGCTAATACTCTAGAGTGGACCTTATTTGCAAGTTAACTGAACTAAAGAGATAAGAAAGCTATAAATTCGTGTAAGTAGCATTTACGTTTCTTATCAAATGGTTCTTTAGATAAGATAAGATCAAAAAGATAACTATTCACGTTGATAATCAAACTTTTGAGTTTTTGAGAAATCGTCAAAATGACAAACGTTTTAAAGATTTTAAATATTATATATGTCTAATTTCCTTCATGGAATATCATATTTCTATATTATAAATATCATAATTAGAAGCCAGAGAGTGGTTCACCCTAATGTACACATGGAAATCCAGTAAGTAAGGGCGGTGCGTCATATCCGTTTTTGGACTGAAATGTTTCTTTTTACGGTTCGCGTGAAGGAGAAAGCACATTTGGGGTACCAAGTATTATGGTCATATATGTGGGAGGAGTAAACAATTGGGTGACTTATTACTCGGCATTATCCAGTGTGTGGCTTAGTTCCTCGCGGAGCTCAAGTGCCCGTCACCCGGCAGTCATCGATTTTGTGCCCCAGACCTCCATGGATTCAGTTAACGGCATTCCATGGGCGTCGGCGAACATGGAAACAATACTAAATACTGGTATTGTTCATATTTCTAGTTGTCTGTCTGTCTGTGTCCCTAGTATCCTGTCTCCCTGTGTATGCAAGGCTGTGTGTGTGTGTGTGACTGTTGCCCATAGTTACGCAGGACACCAACAACTGAAAGCCAACGGCATTCTGGGTTAGGGGGTGTCCTGGCCGAAGACTTTATTAATCCTTTGTGTATATTTAGCGACCACTTTATGAGTTGACGGCCATATATCTTCCTGTTGATTTATGCCAAGTGTAAATTGGCTCCAGCTCTCCTTTTCTTTTTGTGCCATATTTTCCCCTTTTATGGCAGAAATAAATTTGTGTTTATTTTAACTTGAGAAAATGACCCAAAACGATTGTTCAAAGAGATTAATGGCGTAAGCAAGCTAAAGTTCTAGTCAACAAAGGAATGCCACTTTTCTTTTGGTATTTAAGAGTGAAGGTGTTTTAAGTCTTCTCCTCAAGGATGCTTTTCCAATTACTTATTCATAAACTACAGCCAGGGAATTATTAAAACAAGATCCTTTAAGTAGCAATCACAAAAAGTGTCAAATCTTAGGAATTTGTAGGCTATTTTTATATGAAATTTAATTCAAATTCAGAACTAAATTTCTCCACCTTCAAAAAACAAATGCAATTGGCAAGGAAATGATTTAAAATAATGATTTCATGATGTCCATCCATTAAGAAGCCTCACTATGAAGGCTATGAATAGCTTTCAATAAGCCATCACGACACCAAATCGAACCAACTCGAAGGGCCCAGAACTCCCAATACTTGGCAATCCGGGCTCGACCACATCGAATTGATTCGATTTATGTTCCAGCGAATGGGGTGGGTTGTAGGGTGGAGTTTCTTGCCACCCAACCACCCAACATAATTAGGGCCAATGACAATCCTATCGGGCTGCAGCAACTGCACCACCAGCGAATCGTTTCGATTTATTTGGACGCCGTTGCCAGGACAACAGACGGCCAGGTGGCCACCAAGAATTGGGCACAACAAAACCATTCGGAAAAGGCGTTAAGCCACTTGGGTGTTCTGGGAGGGCGGCACATTTAGAGCGGTCAGATTCGAGGGCAAAAAGAGAACAATTTCGGGGAATGTTGCCTGATGGCCCCTTTCGGGTTTTGCTGATTGCTCTGGGCTGCCCAATTGTTCCAAGAAAAGAAGGGTTCTTGTTTTTCCAACCAGAGTTCCACGATTCGTCTGGTAAAAAGCAACAGAAGAGCCAAAAAGGCACAGCTAACTTGCCTTAATTCATGGTCAAATGAAAAAAAGTTTTAAAAGATTTTTTCAAAGGAATTTGATTTGTGAATTATTAAATTGGCCATGGCCCTATCAGTTTTAGAAAGAAGTTAAATTACAAAGAATTTAAACAATTTAAATTCAACTACAAAATAGCAATATTCACAGTTTGATCTAATAAATGGCGAATTGTTCTGGCGTAATCAAGAAATTTGTCGGCTTGTGCTATCGTTATCTTTCGGATGTCAAAATATATTATAGTTTAGCCCTAAATAAATATATACAGCTCGTTATCTTCTTGTTCGGGTGCATTTAGCACCTATAAAAGTCAGTTGTTGACCAGCTGTCGCTGCAAAAGTTTGGTTGAAATCTTTCCATCAAAGTCAGAAATGAATTTCGTAAAAGCCTATTTCGCCATTATGGCTTTGGTCTTCTGTATGTCCGCAGGAGCCTTTAATCCTTTGACGTCCGTTCAGCTGCAAGAGGTGAGTTATAAGCCCTTTGCTAATAAACATATTCTATACTCTAATCCAACTAGGAAATCAAAACTACTGCGGATACCCTTCTGCTTGAGTAAGTATAAAAAATCGTTTAATCCACGGCTTAACACCATTTTTCTATTAGATTGGAAGCTCGTCGAGAGTCCCTGCAGCTGATAAAGGAAAATTTAACAAACTCCGGCAATGAATCCTACCCCACGTCTTGCCTGATTGGAAACAGCCACAACTACTCTAGCCTCATTGTCCAGGTGCCGGGACATAAACCCTTCCAGGTTGCCTGCGACTCCGAGATGGCCGGACTAGGCTGGTTGGTCATTCAAAGGCGTCGTGACGGCCTGGTCAACTTTTACCGCGACTGGAACGAATACAAGGAGGGATTTGGCAACCTGGCTGGCGACTTCTTTATCGGTCTGGAAAAACTGAACTGGCTAACGTCATATCAGCCATTCGAGCTCTACATCCACTTGGAGGAGTATTACAATAAAGTGACTGTGTTTGCCAAATACGACGAGTTCCTCATTGGCGAAGAGTCGGAAAACTTTGTCCTGAAAGCACTTGGACAGTACTCCGGTACCGCTGGAGATTCGCTAAGGACCAACAAGGGTCAGGCTTTTTCTACTTTCGACCGGAAAAACGATGAAGCCGAGAATAAAAACTGTGCACAATTCCACCTCGGAGGTTGGTGGTACAAGGATTGTGGAAAGAGGTAAGTCATGATGGAAGACACCAAAACTGGCATAACTAATTTATAGAATTAATCCATTATTTATTAGTAATACTGATAAGCTGCATTAAGTCATGACACTCAATTATACCTTTTTTGGTATATTTTCAGTAATCTGAATGCCCAATATTTGGATTATTATCAATATTTGCCAAATGACACCGCGCGATACATCACCTGGAATTCTTTTAGCACGATTGCGCCAATGAAAATTGTTCAAATGATGATTCGGCCCAAGTTTGGATGTTTTTGAATAGAAAAGGAAGATTATCTTTATGGAAAATCCTTTTTGATAATAATAAACTGTATTTTTAAAGTTTTTCTTTAAATCAACTAAAATATTTTCCTTTGTATCCAATGAAATCCTTACCTGTTGTTCCATTTTCTGATTTCGACTGTTAAGTGTGGACATTTTTGGAAATGTGTCTGCGGTTTCCTTAGGGTAATCTTGGTTTTCTGATAGTTTTCACTGAACTACGCGATTTTGCTGAGCCAATGAAGCGGCATTTGGCAAATTTCGGAGTAACAGCTGAAGTGGCTTTTTTCGTGAAGTGAATATTACGAATGAATGCAGCAAAACATAGACCGGGGTGTACCAATAACCAAAAACCAAGTCCAAGGCGCTCGCTCTGTACCGCACACCTGGCGGCAGTTTGTGGCGTATGTTCTGTAGTTCGTAGTATTGTGGTATTGCAGCACTGCGGCACACGCGACAACAAAAATCAAGGGCTGTTCGAGGACGAGGGAGGGAAGACTGATGGCGACAGCCGGCTCTTCCTGTGCTCGCTCTCTTTTTTCTCTTTTCCGACGCGATCGATTGATATTCTCTGGATTGCTCACCGATCGGAGGGCACTGAAATGTTTGCTTTAGCTTCTGAGGGGCAACCGTATATTGTATACCGCGTTATAGATATTATATATATATGCAATCTTTATTTAACCAAACACTTTCGTGCTCGCTGAGTTCCGTGTGATATTTGCCAATTGAGTGGTTTTGGCGCCTCTTTTTTGGTAGAGAAGCGAAGGCGAAGTAACCCGTCGACCGAACTGCACGCTGCCAAAACAACAACTGACGACAGCCAGAAGCGAACAACTCAAGCAAAGTCCTTCGGGCGGAATGAAATGGAATTGGAACTCGGATACGAACGCTAAACGAAGGTGGCACCCGAAGCTAGTAATCCTGTCGTGTGTCAGCGAAAGAGAGAGGGAGAGAGCGAGAGGAGAACGTTACTGTTACTGTTCTCACTCTCTGCGGTTCTCTCCTCTCCACTCAGCCAGGCGCCTCCTCTGCCTGCCACCTCTTCCACATCCTGCGAGCGACAGATGTGCAGCTGCCGAGTGCATTTGGATTTGAGCCTCCGCCTCCTCCTCTTTTTACAGGGATTACGGAATGCATTCGAGTACAAAGCTGAGAACGCATTTGGTAATTGCATTTCGGATTTGGCTCAATCCGCCGACTAGCAGAAGCCCAGAAAATAAATAAAACTAATTAAATCGAAGTTTCATTAATTAGAATTCGAAAATCCAGTTAGATCAGATTAAATGAAAAAGCCTATGTAGCCCCAAGGGAATGTAATTGAGACCTATTATCAGCTTCTAATCATTTCCCCTCTTCTTATTATAAAACTTCCCCCATAAAGATTATTTTTTCAGTTGCGTTGTCAACTCGCTTGTTTTATTTCATTAACATTAGTCTTAGCCTACGATGATGATAAGTAAAATTAAATAACAAATAAATGAAAATAGATTTTCTCTCAGAACAGCGTCCTGGTAAATTCGCTTGCAATTGCCTTGTCATTTATGAGGTTCCTTACTAGTTAACGTTGTCAGGTTATGACGCTCACGGGGAGACATTCTTTCCGAAAGAGTCATCTAAGATTTTTAGAAGAACCTGTGTTTCTTCTTCTTCTTGTTCTCCCCCTCCGCCGGCGGCTGGGGATCCACAGAAACCTGACGTCTGGGTAGCAGGGGCGGCGGACTCACATCTTCTTCTCCATCTCCACCTCTACCACCATTGGCCTCCAATCCTCCTCCGTTGAGCGTAGGAGACAGAGGCCGCGGTGGCCGTAGGATGGAGGTGAGCGGTGGCTGAGAGGCCTCTTGTCCATCCTCCTCGATTCTGTCCAGCCGCGAACCGTGCACCGAGGCCATCTCCGAGGGAGTCTTCACCTGCGAGCCACCCTCATCCCCAAACTCACTGGCCATGTTCATGCCGATGGTAGCGCCCACTTTCGCGCTGGCCGTTTTAAAGTGATCACTCAGCTTTATCTGAACCACATTGATGAACATGGAGGTCAGGGCCAAGCCAAATATCAGGTAGATCATGCTGGCCATCACGTAGAAGGCATTGCCAGGCACAAGGTCGCCGAAACCAATGGTCGACATCGAGATGAACACGTAGTAAAAGGCGTCCAGGGTTCTCCACTCTGTCTCCACAAGCTTAAAGCCGAATGTTCCCAGAAGGATGTACGATATGAGCAGGAGAGACGCCACCGATACGGGCAGGTTGAATTCATCGTCCACCTCAAAAGTCTCTGGATAGGGCGACGTGGGCGTCTCCGGATGCGAGGTTCCTAGCGAGGTTCTTCCAGCCTCGGCATCCGCCCCCGACTCGTCCTCTTGGTCCACACTTGACTTGCCGAAAAACATGCTCGGTCGCCGAATGGCCATGTCGTAGACCGTGTTAAAGCCGGTCATTGCGTCCCGGAACTGCTGCTGCTTTCGGATTCTTCGACAGGATCGGGTGTAATACACCCGTCTCACATATGCCCACAGGAACTTGACGCAGCGCGTGAAGAGTTTTCCCAGATCGGCAAGCACGATCAGAAACATTGGGATACCGATGATGGCGTATACGATGGTCAGCGATCGTCCGAGGTCCGTCTTTGGAGTGATGTGACCGTATCCTATGGAGGAGATGAAGGAAGATGATGTTTATAAATAGTTCAAGGAAGAAAATTATTATTATTTTGGTTAATTAATAATAAAGAAATTGTGGTTTTTCCACTGTTTTTATAGCTTACTTAATAACTTTTAAAAAAGTATAATATTCGACATTTAATGTAAATAATAATCCTGACTTTCGAATGGACCCATTAGATCTGTTACCTATGGTTGTGATGACGGTCCAACAGAAGATAAAGCAATTGACAAAGTTCCATGACTTTTGACCTGGATAACGTCTTAACCCCAACTCGGCCAGGTTATTTAATTCATCTTCGAAATTGCGCAACTTCTGGCGTGCTAGAGACTTCCAGTCTTCCTCTCTGGCAAAGATACAAATGGATGACTCACCAAACCGTTCCACTAAGCCCTAACATTGGCCCTACCTCATGTTGTGGCTGACATCCCACAGTTTCTCGATGAAGTCCCGCTTGACCTTGCGCACCTCGCATTTGTATATATTCTCAGAAGCCCCTTCCGTGTACCGGAACATGAGTCCTCCGAAGCCCAACAGCATGGTCAAGCAGATGAGGTAGGCAATGCACTTGTTGCGCAGCTGACACAGCTCCTTAACCTGCTGGGGATAATCCAGCTTGAGGCGTTTCCATTCATGCCGGGCTTCCAGGCTGAGGTGATACAGAAAAGCCCTGGAGGCCAACTTCTCTGGCAGTACTTCTGTGATTAGATCGGTGGTATCTTCGCTTTTGACCTTCTTCTTCCGCCTGAAGAGATTTTTTATGCGTTGCAAGAAGCCTGGCTTTTGTTCAGTTTTTATGGTGGATTGCTCTTGTACCAAGGATACTTCAGCTCCTGATTCAGCACCTGGGCCAGGTTTATTGTCGACAGCTATTTCTGGGACTTGAGGCTCCTGAGCTGTTCTTTCCAGGCTGCCCGATCTCTTAGCCCTAAGGGGCCGCTCCAAACTGGAACTCCGCTTTTGAGGTTTCTCTTCCTTGTCAACCATCCTCAAGCTGTGACTGCGACGCACTCCCTCTGCCGTGAGGATTTGCTCTGCCAGAGCAGCTTCAGCCTTTGCCGCCCGCTCGGCTGCCTCCATGTACTTTTGCATTAGCTCCGATTGCTGTTCCGCCTCTGTGATTTTTGGCTTTATCACCTCGCTCCTGGACTCACCTACCTCCACGTACTCGTGCTTCCGAATGATCTGCTCCCGCTGTTCTGGAGTCTTAGATCGTCGTTGGGGTCTTACTGGCGACAGGGAATTGTTACGGCTAACAGATAGCCTTTCCGGTGGTTTTGGAGGTGCCGATGGCGGTGGTGGTGGAGCACCGCGAATAGGAGCAGCTACAAAGCCTTGGGGAATATTAGGGGCTCGTGATCTCGTAGGAATCTCCTCCACTGCCTCAGCATCGGAGGAGCTGAATTGGGTTGAGGATTCTTCGTATCCGCTACTTCGATTTCTACCACGAGTCTTGGGTGCCTCATGCCGCTGAAGCCGTAGGCTATGAATGAGACGACGGCGCTCCTCCTCGTCCTGCGGCAGCTGGATGCGATCACTTAGCTTGCGGTAGCTCTGCAGGAGGCGTTTCCTCTCCTCGTGGTCCAGCTGCTGACGGTGACGCATCTTGTGCTCCCGCTTTTCACGTTCAAAGAGTCTCTTCTCAGCTTCGAATCGCCTTCGTTCGTCCTCGAACCGCTGCAGGTTCTGCTCTAGCCGGGTTAGCGTATCCTGAGTCTGACCAAGATTAGGGATTCGTCTCTGTTGCTGGCTGCTGCTTCCAGTGGTTAGCTCGCTCTCACTGGACTCCTCCTTGTTGCGCGGGGAGGAGAGACTACGGTGTTTAATGAGGTGATTGGCATCCGGACTACTGAGTTTCTCTGCCTCTCGCGGCTGCGACTGACTTCGAGCTGAGGAGCTGGCAAAGCTCTTGTCCCGCTTTCTTAGTATCTTGCTCTCGTGGGCGGACAAAGTGCCTGGAGGTCTTATTTGCATGCGAATCATTTGGGGCGAGGGATCCGGAAAGGGGTCAGGACTCGCGTCGTCCTGGAGAAGGACATCTGCGGTGACGGGAGTCGGCTCCCGGTGGCTACGTCCCAAACGTCTTCGATGACGCTGTTGCTGTCTGGGGTCCACTGGCTGCTCCATCATGTCCAGCCGCAGTCGTGTGCTACTTTCTCGATCTATCTTTGTGCTCGTGTTCTAGCCATCTATTTTTAACTGCCCAACGAGGCGTTCATATTCCACATATGAAAATATGCCTCTGGGTAATTATATCACTTTTAATTGCAAATTCCTATTGGCTGTTCTCTAACTATATTTTGCAGTTCCTCCTCAAACGCTTGCCACCAAATAGTTTCGTAGTTTTTCTAAATTATTTATGTATTTGACAACCGCAATTATATATATGTATGAATTTATATATCTGTTTCTATAGACCTCGTAGAACTCGACGCGATCGAATAGATTTAGTTTTTATTGCTCGCTGACTCGACCACGGCTGGCATCACACTGCTGAGAGTGCCGAGAAAATTCATTTTTCAAATTTCATTTTGGTTTTCTATATTTTTGGCAGATGTCTCAACAGCTGTTCTCATGCATATGTATATAAGATGCATACGATGATGAGAAAGATATTATCTTGTTTATAGATTGTTTAATTTCTAAAACAAGTACGATTAATTCTGTGCTCGTCGCTTTGTTTACTGAGTTAGTTCTTAGTTTTATCCGATGCATTCTATATGAATTGTCTGTTTCGTAAGAAACCTCGCATCTAAACAAAAATAATTATCAAACTCCAAAAGTGAAATTCCTTTCTATTATAAATGTTTAATTAAATCATAAATGTCAACTCTACATTAACCATAGAATACTTTTACAGTAGAATGTATTTTAGACACCGTTGACAAATCGTATACGTAATATTTTTTAAAAACGCCCGCCAGTTTGGGTAATTGTGACCATAAAAATATCATACACCGAATATACTAAAACACATGGTATAAGTCATCGACTTATCGATTAAAAATTTCAATTTGTCCCGTCTCTAAATATTTTGGTTGATCGGAACGCGCACGTGTTTTTGTGTTCAATTTTAATAATATTTTAAAATGGGATTTGGTAAACCTCGTGGCGGCGGCGGAGGCGGCAGAGGATTTGGAGGAGGCGGCGGAGGTCGTGGTGGTGGTGGAGGACGTGGAGGTGGAGGTAATAACTTCAGATCCAACGGCGGCGGAGGCGGAGGATTCGGCAGAGGAGGAGGTGGACGTGGTGGCGGCCGAGGAGCTTTTGATAATGGTATGTTGATGGAATGAGTATTTCCATTAATTCCACAAAGGAGTTTCTTAAGTTCGTTCCATTTCGTTTGTCATATAAACCGCTTTCATTTAATTTAAATATTAATACATATGGCTGTACATATCTGTACATCTAAAAAACCACGTTGTTTACATATATTGTGCCCCCCCATCTATAGAAGTATGTAGGGTTATATTAATAAACCCCAACTGGAAGTGTTTTTCTAAAATATACTCTATTTTGACGGTCAGGCAAATTGCCAAATCTTTTTTCCACTTTATCTAATGGTTATTTATCTTCTACTATAGGACCTCCGGAGCGAGTTATACCTCTAGGAAACTACGTTTACTCATGCCAAAATGACCTCGTGTGCAAGGTTGGGATCCAGGATGTCCCATATTTCAACGCGCCAATTTTCCTCGAAAACAAGGAACAAGTAGGCAAAATTGACGAAATCTTTGGAACCGTTCGGGATTACAGCGTGTCCATCAAACTGTCGGATAATGTCTATGCAAACAGCTTTAAACCAGACCAGAAATTGTATATCGACCCTGGAAAGTTACTGCCAATTGCCAGGTTTCTACCAAAACCTCCACAACCGAAAGGAGCGAAAAAGGCCTTTACGAATAACCGCGGTGGAGGCGGCGGCGGTGGCGGAGGTGGTTTCGGAAACCGAAGCGGCGGTGGTCGTGGAGGAGGTAATATTCTAATATTTATGTCTACTGAAGATGTTCTAACTCTTATTCTCAACAGGTGGCCGAGGTGGTGGCGGACGAGGTGGAGGCGGTGGCGGCGGATTTAACAGAGGTAGAGGAGGCGGAGGCGGCGGTGGCGGTGGTGGCTTCAACAAAGGAAGAGGAGGAGGTGGAGGTGGCCGGGGGCGATGGTAATTTTCAGTATCTGACCCGCATCAAAACATTTAAAGAAATGTACAATCAAATTATTGTACATGTCCAAATAGTTTTTAAGCCAAGGCACTTTTGGGTATTATTCGCTGACCAACCAATCGAATATTTTACCTTAATTGCTTCTAAAATAAATATATTAAAAATGTAAACTTGCTTATCTGATGAAACAGACAGGGAAAATGTGTACAAAGTTATGGTCTTGGGTAAACTTGATCATTAAAGAAAACTTAAACTGCCGCACAAGAAGTTAATTAAACTTAATTTTTATGGTACATCCCAATAATTGAGTTGTTTATCATTTAAGACAACAAATTAATTAGCAATTGATGTCAAGACTATTCCCGTTTTTAAAGAGATAGTGCTTAGGACGAAATACAGAGTATCATAAATATTTTTAGACAGAAAGAGTGTGAGATAATTTCGTACAATGGTAATTTGTATTGATGGGCCTTTAACGAATTGTTATATTGAAATATAACTTTATGAAAACGAACTAAAACATGATTTATTTACAGTTTGTACAAGTTTGTCGGATTGTCTTCAATGTGTTAGACTCGTCCGATTGGATTAATACACCTCCAGCAACAACATAATGAAAAATAGATAATGGATGAATGATTTGTGAAGTTGTGGGAAGTTCGAAACACCTAGGTTTTAGGGAATAATAATGTATCAGATTTATAGTAGCATCACACTCATCCGAATTCCCTTGAAATTTTATGAATTCTTCGAGGTTTGTTTAAAATGCCCAATACTGTTTGGCATGGGGGTTTCCTTCCGCTTTCCACTAGCTGTTCGATTCGTGCATATAATTTGTTAAATTTGCAGCTGTTCTCGAAATGAAAAAAATATTTATGGAATTATATTTGCCAAAAATTAAAAATAATTTGTTTTTGCCCTCTCGTATTTTATCTTTATCCCCGCTGACGTCATTGTTAGCATAGAGCATTTCTCCACTTCCAATTTTCATATAAATTAAATGTTTTGTTAAATTTTCATCAGATACTTTCCGGAACCCCTTTAAATCTTCCCGCCCCGCGAAATGTCGGATGGTCCAGCCCCTCCCATTTCTCCACCGAAACGTTGATGACGGATCGTATTCGCTTTTATGGAATTTCGTTGCGATTTTGTGTTTGTTTATTCTTGGCAATTTCATTCAACATTTCCGAATTGCCTTCGAGATTTGTTTTCCATTTGGGCATGCACCATTTTTATAAAATTGTCGGCCTTTGCCTCCAATCGCCCGTAGAATGGTTTCACTAAGCGTTATTTTAATCGCAGCAGCAACAGTTTTATGATAGACAGCGAATATTGATTTTTCTTGGGGAATTATAAAGTGTTTTCCGGTTTATTGATCTGTTCAATTTTGTGTTTACTCTCCACATAAACTAATAAAAACTTTATTATAAAATCCTTACATTATTAGTGGTCATTCAGGAGACAAAATATATAACAATTTCATAGGCAATTGACGAGACACATTTTTTGAATATTTCATTGTGTCATGGTTGAATTAGATAATATTTCTGTGACATTAAGGGCCTAAAAATAGGTAAGTACTAAGTATAGTAGACATCGATTCTCAACTGAGTCATACTGAAGACTCTCGATTTCAAATCAAATACTAGATCATAAATGAGAAGTGCTTCTCAACCGAATGTTTTGTTTATACTTGTGCCAATTTTGACAACTTGATTATATTAAATGCACTCGAAAAGCACAATTTGCAATTCTGTTTACACGGCACCCGTTTAAAGTAGCAAATTCTGTCGTCGTGTTGCGGCAATAATTTGGCAATTTGTGTTAATTGCTTTTCTGTTGATGTGGGTGCAAAGTTTTCCACACTCGAGGATTTATTTGAATTTATCTCTTACTTTCCGTTTGGAAACTTGTCAAAAGTGGCGACGCACGAAAATAATTTATTTTACTAGAAATACGCCTTCCATTTTCTCATTTATCTTGCTGAAAGTTTAAAAAGTCGTCTGGCGAAAGATAAAATTCGGTACAAATCCAAAAAACAAGTCAATCGAATAAAAGTGGCTATCAAATCATTAACTAACCACACAATGAATATGAAACATAATTTCCTAAGAAAGAACAATAATTTAAAATATGAATTTACCGCACATATTTGTTCGGTCGAAATCATTTGCATTTTCATGGCATGTTTATGGCCGAGAAAAGTCTTTTGCAAATTAAAAGTGAAATTAAAAACAAATTTGATTAAGAACGTGTAAAGAGAAAATTCGGTGAAAATTTTGGTATAAGGTGTAAGAGTGTTTGGTGAGTTATTTATAAGACTCAATTAAGAACAGTGACAGTATTCCAAAGAATGCCGACGTCTCTTGAGAGCATCTCATAACTATAACTGTCTGCTCGAGAAGAGACACAAATTTTTTATCTCCCAAATGCCGACGATCGCAAAAATATTCGAAACTATTTCCATCTTTCGTGTCACATATTTTGTTGGCTTAATAATGAAGAAGCATAAACATAAATAGACGGTCTTGCGTCCCGAGAAAACATATATCTAATCTGCGTGGGAGTCTTTGCACTCCCAATGTTACGAAAACTAGAGCTCCACTCACCTATGGTTGTATAAATGGTGGCTGCATAGACCATGGCGTCCCAAAAGGACCAGGGATCCGGCTTCTTCTCCATTTGATCTCTCAGTAGCGATTCGACCGGCGATGAGTATTTGTTTAATATTTTCAGAACTTCAGCGTCGAATTTTACACCCTTCAACTGTAGGTACCACAAAATTATAGATTATGTTTGATATTACATATAAATTGAGCACTCTTACCGTTGTGTTGGTGGCAATACTACGCATGTCATCGAAGAAAAGTTTCTGTTGATTCTGCAGCTGCGCTTTTTCGTGCTCGGCCTGTCGGACTGATATTGGTTGAGTTTGTGGTGGTTCAAAGTTTTCTTAAAGAGGGGAAATTGGTATTGGAAGGATTTGGAGAGGATTCGGATCAAGGTTGCGTCTTAATCAAGTGAAATTGGAAAGCTGCCAGCAGATTTGCATTTAATGCTTGAAGCTTAGCGCAATAAATCAAGGTGATTTTGCTGGCAAATTGAATTTGGAATTGAAAGCTTTTCCAATCACAATAACTAGGCGAGGGAGAAGCCTCCATTCCGGGACTCCTCCATCCGCTCGTTAATCATCTGCAACTGGACGTCTTGGTTGTTTATACGACACATTATTCCCCTCGCAGCCGCGATTCATCTATACATATACTCGTATGTGTACCTATGAGATTCGAGTGTTCCACGGATACTGAATGGATACTGAATCAGTCGTCTGCCAAATTGATGGGGCATGTTTTTACGATTACAATACAGCGCACACATTCGGCAGGTGTATTTATTTGAATGGCTGGGAACTGAACTGTTTACTATTTTCCAAACAATTGCCGAAGAGCTTGATAAGCAAACAAAGTCGTCTGTTGCACTTCTCTGTCCGGATATCTTTTCTTTTTCTTTTGGGTAACCTAATGAACTTGTCTAGGGGAGGGGCCAATAAAACAACTTATCTGCTGTTGATAAGAGGGATTGCTCAAGAGAACCTGCAAGGCTATGGTACTCACCTTCGATGGCCTTAAACAGGAGCGCTCCACCCACGTTGTAGAGCGCCAGAATGATGATCAGGAAGATGTGGGTGAACCAACGGCGCGACAATTTGCTAAGCTTGTTGTACATGCCGAAGGTGAACTTCTCGCCAAAGCTCATACCCGTCTTTGTGAGATCCAGGAATCCCTCGTAACCCTTGGTCATGAAGTTCCCGGACCCGAAGGGATTTGCCATGGGTGGCCAGTAGGGACCCTGGGTCCCATTGCCCGTGTAGTTGGTTTGAGCGGTGTATGGTGGCTGGGCACTTGGTGGCATAGATGATTGACTCATCGCCGATCCGCCGGTCAGATTGTGGATATTGATCCTTGGTGGACGATTGGCTCTGCGAGAGGGCGGCGGAGTGCTCGGAATGGGCGTAATGCTTTGTGCCTGTGACATTGTCGAGGTTTCTTCTATTTCAAAATCTTGGAATAACTATATTTCTATAAGGCCTTTGATTGGGCCTCTTTTATCTTCAACTGCTGACTACAAGAACTCAAAACATTTGACACTTAATCTTCATTATTCAAGTTCCGTTCACATATATGTTTACTTATATATTTGTATTATTTTTAAGTTTATAAGTAGAAATGCCGTCGCGATTCCAAGGCGCCGCGTATTTATTTCTCCCCGTATTTTCCGATGCTAGCTGTTTCTTCCCGCTTCCGACCGCCTCGTTCTTGAATCCAATGCGAACTGAACTGAAGCAAAATGTTTTGGCCAACATCGGTGCTGTGTTGTGTGTCGCTGTCGCTGGGAATTCAGTAGTATTTGTATCGGCCACGAATCTCCGGCTGCCGACTATGACGACATCGACAGTCATGAGCTCACGGGTCCATCGAGGAAACCCAACTGATACTGATCTCAGCGTGCAAGCTGATTGTTTTATAATTATGTGTTGGGGTCGCGGCATCAGTGGATGCTGTACTTCTTAAATCGAGTTTTGTTCTGGTCAACGCGTAGTTCCCTTATCTTAAAAAGTTTGTTGTTATTTTTAAATATGTTTTCTCATTTGCTTCGTCTGGCACTAATGAATGAGGCATTTTCCCTCTCATAATTTATGGGATTGAAGCTTTATTTTCGCTTTCTGGCGCTTAATAATTTGCATAAAATTAAGACAACGGACGGTATTAGTCATTCGTGTCCGGCAGTCATTTACCTTTCTGTAGAACTGTGTCTAATTGACTTTGCCGTTGTCATTTGGCTTACACACAAGTGGTGAAGCACTTTCTAGGAAATTCTTAAATCGAAGAGTGTACATCCATACATATCTTCTGATTGATTAAAAGAGATTTGTATATTTCTATGTATGGTATAATGTTTTGTTTTTAGCTGCTGATAAGAATATTGTAATTTATGTTTCTCCCATTTTGCAGATTTAGGAATCTTAAAACTGGAAACCAGTTGTTAACCAGTTAACCAGTTTTAACCAAGCCATTTAAAAAAATAACGATAAAGAAGTAACATACTTAGAAAAACCTTATAATATTATAATATACATATGTAGGCAAAAACATTTTCAGTAAAGTTTTTAAAAAAATATATAATGCTAAAATTGCCATAAATTGCTATTTAATTTTAAATCAAATCTTGAACGGTTCTTTGAGAAATTAAATTTAATAGATCCTTACACTAAAATTATTCAAAGCTTATGCGGCAAGAGTTGCATATTAAAAAAACAACTAAAAAGGATAGTTGCCTACGGGACCCTCTTTTTTCTTAAAATATTTACATTTACATTGTACACATATTTCAAAACACGTTTAAAAACGTTCAATAACATTTAAATTTTCATAAAATTAAAAGCTATCGGTATTCAAACAGGTATTTCCGTTCGAGAATGGTCACACTCCGTGGAATACAGTGTTGTAAAGCGCTCCGAAGTGTTCTAAGTGCTACTCCTGACATATGTACATATAAACTATTAAATTGGCCATCGTACAATATAGAGAATGGAAGAAAACGAGACCCGATCAGATGCCAGAGATTCCACGGAACTGGCCAATGGTAAGACAGCCGGTTAGGCTCCACATCCAATCGTAAACTAACCCAAAGCATTATCGGCAGGTGAGGATGACGCGACCAGCAAGCAAAAACTCAGTTACCTGCAGAACGAGATGCGCAAAATGCAGAACGAGTTCAACACACAGCGGGCGAAGATGCGGGAGCTGTATATGCAGAAGGAGGCGGAGGTCACTCAGAGCACGCAAGAGCGCCAAAAGCTCCAGGCAGAGCTGGACGAGTTGAAAACCCATCTGATGGTGGCAGACTTGAAGTCGGAGAACGAATTGCAGTTAAAGGACCTCAAGGCGCAGGAGGAAATCTCCTCGCTGCAGCAGTTAGTACAGGACACCATCGAGGAGTCCGCCCACTACAAAAGCGAGCTGGAACGCCTCAGGCTTGAGCTGACAAAGTATCAACAGATTCACCAGCAAACCCAGACGCTGGTTCCGCAACCGCAAGCTGAGTCATCCGTCGGAATTGCGCCCCAAGTGCTCAATCAGGTTAAGAAGACTCTGGGCTCCGTGCGTAAGCTGGGAACCGACTCACTAAACAGTAGCTTTCAGCAGGAGGATGACACACGAGCATCGAGCAAGGGCAATGGCAAGCAATACGTATGTTTTTCCTACATTTATCATTTAGTGGCATACCAAACATAATTACTTTACAGGCTGCGGAGGAAGCGGAGATGATGCACTCCATCGTCGAGCAGCTGCAAGAAGAAATGAAGGCCCTTAAGGTCAAGCTGCGCGAACAAGACGAGCAATTGCAGTCTAAGTCAGCGACCGACGAATCTTCCCTGCACAAGTCCACATCCATGGACGTGGCGGAGGGTTCTTGTGACTCCTGCAGCACGGCGGAGAAAAAGGCTGACGAGCTAAATGCGCATATAAGCAAGCAACAGAAGCAAGTTGATCTTCTACAAAAGCAACTGGTGGAATCCCGAGAGACCCTGGCCAAGGAGGCGGCGCTCCGAAAGGACCTGGAGGACCAGTGGCAAGAAAAGCGGGAGGCCCACAAAAGTGAAGTACAAAGCCTGCGCGATCAGGCCAAAACCAACGAGCAGCGTCTGCTGGACATGCAGCAAAAGTTTCTCGAGACCAAGGACGAGGTCATCAAGCAGATCCAGCGTGTCACTGACGACCGGGAGAGGGTTAACAAGCAGCTGGAGACGTTGCAGGCGGATAACGACTTTCTCTCCGGCCGATATTTGGCCACGTCCGAGGAGATCGACAACCAGTATATAAACCTGCCAAACACGGTCGTCGAACTGCAGGAACTAATGCTGCGACAGCAAAGCGAGTTGATCCAAGCACGCGTCAGCAGTGAGTACGAGCGACAGAAGTGCACAAGCACTGAAGATGAGATACAGATCTTGCGAGCTCAGTTGGAGGAGAGCAACAACGAACGACGAGCTTACAAGCGCAAAATGCAACTAGATATTAAGTCACTGCAGTGAGTACTACCCTTGGTTGAATGGAATGTAAACTGTGGCTTAAACTTGAATTGAATTTCTAGGGACAGAGTAACGGAGCACTTGGTTACGGTACAGGCTTACGAGACGACCAAAACCCAACTGGAGCGCAAAGAGGCTGAGCTTAATAAGCAGCTATCCGAGTGCCGCGTTGAGATCATTGAACTGCAAGAGGCCAATGTAAGTACAGATCTTTGGCTATCGAAGAACACTCGACAGCTAGTTGATACCTTTACAGGAGAAGTACGCGAAGACAAATTCCGACTACAAGACGAAAATAAAAACGTTACAGGAGGAACTGTCTACTATGGAGACGGTTCAGAAAGATTTCGTTAAACTATCTCAAACTCTTCAGGTGAGTGCGATATAAAAATATGGTTTATTCACTTAAATATTTACATTATTTTTTGCCATAGATGTCGTTGGAGGAGCTGCGGCATGCCGATACAGAGGTGCGCTGGCAGGACGACGATGATGTAAACAATTGTCCCACGTGCAACGCCTATTTCACGGTCATGGTGCGCAAGATCCATTGCCGGCACTGCGGCCACATCTACTGCGATAAGTGTCTAACAAAAACGGTGCCATCGGGGCCACGGAAGCGAGTGGCCCGAGTCTGTGATATCTGTCACACGCTGCTCACTCCAAACACTGCTCCCTACTTCAGTCAGGGACAGCCGCCGCAGCAACAGCAGGGCCAGCAACAGCAGCAGTCCAACTAGGCAGTCGGGCTCCAAGCCCAAGTTATTGTGTATTAAGTGTGAACTACGATTACGATTAGTTGGTATGTCCTTGAACTCTATTGCTCTGTTTCTATGCTCCGATATTATGATTACGATTCGAGGTAAAACCTTTCCAACGCCGCACTAGGTTGCGGCCTTATCCCCTTTCCATTTGCCGATGTCCTTTTTTCGATTTTTCCGTACCTTCATTGTGCTCTAAATACCGTAAGCGATGAGTTGTCTATGTTAGCTTTTGTCCTAGGTTAGTTTTCATAATTAAATTGAACTCAAAGCAAATATAAAAATAAAAAACAAGTAATGTTTGTTGTTTGTCGCCACACATCTTTACTTGAACCAATTTTGCCTGTAAGAAAGGAATTTATTAAATAAACTGTGCGTTTAATGTCACATCATGCAACATATAGTTTGTGTTGTTGTTTATTTAAAAATACTAAGCAGAGTTTGTAAATTATTGTTAACAATTGTATTTGTGTCTTCATTTGGTTGCGAGGAGCTAGGATTGGTATAGATATTCGCTAGGTATTAAAACGTAATAACAATGTCGGGCATGCCCATATAAATTCAGTATGTACAACTCTCACTTCAACTACCAAATAATAATCTAATACTGCAATCTCCGCATTCAACGAAAAACGTAAACAACTACAGACATCACACACACACACACTCGGGGAATCACATTACTTGGGAAGCAATTACAGGTTGTTTGGCACATAGTGTCTGCGGAAGAGATAGAATAATTAGAAAACAATTAGCCTGTCTAGGGAGAACTGATTCCCCTTACCTCACCATAGAACGCGGCCTGCTATCAGTGCTACTATGGTCACGGCTGCCACGCTCACAATGCTCATCACACGAGAAGCTAGTTTGGGAGAAATAAATATTCTGGTCAGTACACATTGATATTAATGGAAAGCTGAAAGCTTAGGAAACTGCTAGCCGAGAGTTGTGTTTTATACATTTCTTAAGAGGGTTAGTAGAGTAATTTATCAGTATCCTTTTAGCTTCTTCTTATATATGCATGCTAGATAAGCCAGGGTTGAATAATTGGTTAGGTTTTATAGCCGGTAGGTAGTCTATATGGGTAATATTTGAGGGACAAATACCATGGATCAGTCTGTTACAGGTGGTGTGTTCTGGATCTGGTGCTGGGTGGTTACACTAAACATTGCCTTCACATTCACAAACACAAATCAACCAAATATGAATGACCCAATTGGACACTTACTCGTGAATCCGCAACTTGATTGCTCGGCCGACTTTAAGACAGTTAATGTTCTTTAAGATTTTTGCTTGAATTTGGACAAGTCACACGAATGTGCAAACGTGGACTGGACGTGAACGTGGAATACATGGACAACAGACAGTACTGAGATGGATTGCGGGCATCGTATCCTGATTCCTGGCGGTGCTGTAACTGTGACTGTGGTGCTGTGGTTCGTAGTGCTTGGCTCGGGAATTTGATGGTTCGCGGTACAGATTTAGTTTATAGACAGCGGCTTTTATAGTTATAGATATTGCGGAGAGAGATAGAGCATTTGCTTAGCCTAAGGATGAGCAGTTTGATGAGCGCTTCTGTATGGATGCTTATAATGTACAAATATCTAAATACAATTTCGAAAAAGCTTTGGCTTTGAGCCTGTGATGATGCTGACGATGATGTCTGATGAATAGTGTTCTGGCCTGGCTACAGATTCATTTTACTGCGGCTCTTCACCTGCTGCGCCACCGGATCCACCGGTTGAAATATCGCGCCCGTGCTTGCTCAACCACTCGATGATCACACCGTTGGACCATCCGAATCCCGTCTGCACCTCGTACTCGCCACCGCCGCCTCCGACACCGAATTGATCAGCGTTGTACTGAAAATTAGACGACGCCATAAACATATTGAATACCAAATGGCCACTTTAAGCTTACCTTCTCGTACATATGCCTGTCTTTACTGAAGGCCGCGAAGTTTGACTTCACCCATCTGGTGGCCCACTTCTTGGACATATTCTTGGCCTCGGGAGTGTTGAGGTTGTTCAAACCCTCAACCAGGATGTACTGCATCGGAGCCCATACATTGGGCGCATCCCACTGCTCATTGGTGTAGCTTAATGTGTTGGGAACTCCGCCAGGGAATGTGTCCAGCTTATGCTTTTCGATGTAGGCCATAACTGAAGCCGAGATCTTTTCGGACTCAGAAATGTTGAAGGCCTTCACCCACAGCGGGGAGAGATTGGTGGGCACAAAGTAATCACGTGGTTTCTCGTTCTTCATATCGTAGTCGAGCCAGACACCGGCCTCCTCGTTCCACAGCACTTCCTTGATGCCCTGTAATGAGAGAAGTATTAGGGTAAGTCACCATTATGAAAACTAAATAATTTTGAGCTTATGAGTGTTTCTTGGAAAGCTGTATGCATGCATCATAGTTTGTTTTAGAATATTTATCTAATGTTTCTTACCAGTAGGAACTTTTCAGCTTTAGTCTCGTACTCGGTCACCTTCTTAGTGTTTCCAGCCTTTGAGTGGAACTCAGCAATTATCTTGGCGTTCCAGTACAGATAGGCATTCAGGTCAACAGGCACAATTAGGCTGGTACTCAGGTTGGTCAGATTTCCATCGTTGGTGCCATCCTCTGAGATGAACCATCGGGAGCTAAAGTCCATTCCAGACTCGGCTGCTGCCTTGAGCTCACTGTAATGAAGTTCCCTGGCCTCATTAGTAGAGAATGTTTCACCGGTTTCCACATCCTCTCTATAGGATTCTGGCCTCGGACCTGACGACGAGTCACGGTAAACGCACAGACTGTGATTTTTCACTGTGACATTGTGGTTGTTCGTAAAGAACTCGAACTCGTGCTCCAATTCCTCCAGAGCATCGATTGCGAACTTGTCATCGTTGGTGAAGTCTACGTATGACTTGACCATTCCGGTTAGAAGTGGTGGCTGGGAGCGACCGTGGTAGTAAACTCGTCCGCCGTTCGGAATGAAACCAAACCGATTCACAATGGACAGGAAGTTCTCAATCATGCCGCGGGCGGTGGTATACATTTGGCTGTAAAGGAGTCCCCTGATGATCCAGTAGGAGTCCCAATAGTAGAACTCGATGAAGCGACCTCCGGGAATGATCACGGGATTGGGGACGGGTATGATTGAGTAGTACTGAGGATTTTTCAGTACGTCGTCCTTCATTTTGCGGCCCAGGATCTTCCAAATGTTATTCAGTTCCACGCCCCACTGCTTTAGGTCCGGATCCGAAATCAGATCCAGGAAACTGGGATTCTCCGTCCAGTCCGTGGGCGTCCACTCCTCCAGCTCGGTGCCCTTGGGGCTAAAGTATTCCTACAAAACGGGAAATAATCCTTACTCTCTGCCAGTGGATAGTCTGAATCCAAATTCACTTACATCCACAAAGTTTTTGAGATCTTCATTGCTGGGCGTCTGGTTTTTCGCCTCCATCATTGCCTTAAAATCCGCGAGGGTCTTATCAGGCGAATTATTCAGTTTCATGTCCACGAACGTTTTGGAGTCCGCGAAAAGTTTGGGTTGAGCAGTTTGAATGGTGTGCAGTAGCTCGCCCTCGCAATAGATTTCACTGGAAAATACAAATATTGCAATTTAATCACTTCCTCCACATAACCGACTTCCTTTTCTCTTATCTCAAAATGTGCACTTTATAAAAAGACAAAACAAATGAAAAAAGGCTTAAAAGTATTTATAAGCTATGTGGCTTTTCCTATTTTAAATTTTATTCTCAATTCACGTTTTGTTTGCCCAGCCTGCACCGAAAAATCCCGGATGAGGCTTACGTAAGCCAGATAGCATAAAAATCGCTTATTCCCATTCCCATTCCCATATAGTATAGTACACACAGTGACGGCACTAATTAGTGCAAATAACTCTCGAGTTAAATGGATATAAAACCGCTCCAGCCAGAGTATCCATCCAGGTGGTGCTGGTTAAGTGAACACCTGTCCAAAGCATCGATGAATTGTATCTCTCGATCAGATACGACTAAAGCTAATGCACGAATAACCAACACGTCACGTTTATGGCACCGGGAAAGGAAACCACTCAAGCTGAAAGCTTGGTAATGTCTCAGACCCGGCCATTGCTGGGAGATCAGAGTCCGGAAGTCATCGGAAAACTTACCAACTTGCAAAGGGATCCACTGTTTCCTCATCGGTGGCAATGGCATTGTTATCATCTGTGCCGAGATCGGGAGAACCAAAGGACTTCGCCTGTGACACAGCTGCTAGGCAACTCCAGCTCACAAGGAGCAGGGCTATGGCTGATAGCTTGAACATATTTTCACTTTATTTTCACGGCTAATGAAATTGTTTTTCAATCTGCGCGGATGACAATACAAATTGTTGAGTTGCTGAGATATATCCTTTCGCGTACAGGATATGCTCGCGATCCCTGAATCTGAGATCGATCTGAACACAAGCACAACCAGCGCAAGAATACTTCTAACTGTTCCGCTCGATTCCATTTTTATAAAACTAAATTAATCTACGAATACGACGGAGTGTACGACGAGCCGCGATCGGCAAACGAACGATTGTCGGGCGGGGCAAGGTGATATCTGGAGCCAAGTCATCGGATGGGGCGGAGTGGGGTTGGTTGTTTGGTTGGTTGGGTTGTTCGATCGACGGTCGCGCTTTGGGGGCGCGTTCAGTCTATTTATAAAATCTTTAAAGTGGCCACAAACGTATCTGTCGGGTTCACCTGCTGCAAGTCTCGTGAACTTACCACCTATACCTATAGTCATTCATCTCCTAGCAGATCGTTCTAGTCTAGTATCTACTTAAACTACTAGTCTAATTGCATAGAGTTTCCCAGTGTGCCAAAGGGCATTCGATTGGGTTTTTAGCACACCCATATAATTCGCATATGGCTGGCTAACTGGCTTATGAATTTTAATTCTTCTGAGCCTTGAAATATTTATATCCATAACTATATCACCCGCATCATATGATGGATTATCACTCTTAACATATTTATTGCTACATTTGCCTTGTTTCGTGCGAGAAGGTCCCACTGTAATGCCAAGGTATTTCTGATAACAACTAATTTTGGGGATTTTAGGCCTAGTTTTAATGCTAATAGGCAATGCTCCACTTATGATAACAGCTGTGCTAAATTTCGTTGGAATTCATGTAATCCAGAAATTTAACGAGCTTAGCCCGATATCTCACTGATTTGCATTGCACTAAGGAGCTCAGATTTGAGGTCACCGAAGGCAGAAGTGACATTCGACTGCGGTTTATTTATATCCATCAAGTTCCACTTTATCATAAATTTCCAAGTCTATAATTAGAGTGGGTTATGTGTTAGTGACACGTGTATGGCCCCAAATAATGGACCGGAATTGCGACGTTTCGCACGAATGTTGCTTTACGTACTGTGGAACTAACGAGTCTTAATTGAACTGATTTGCTGAATAAGGATTGCCTTTGAGAGATTAACATATGGATATAAGTTAATGCGCAGAAAGATGGTTATATGCTGGGACTAAAGACCTCTCTATACATTAACTCATTCATTAAATACCAGTAAAGATCCAAACAAACGAGATATTGCACAACATATGTGTCTTATGGAACATTTAGTGGATGATGAATTACTCAAACCGGGTGTCATCGCAATCCTATGATATAACAGCAGCTGAAGCATCTATGGCTTGGGAAACAAAGGGGATCCAAATAAACGGAACAATTGTGCAATTTGAATCGAGATCTACGGGGATGAGAACCAGAAAGAGAACGATACCCCGAGAACCCTATTGTTATGCCTCACTGTGACGACAGCAGCTAGCAGGTGCGACTAAATCGATGATTTAACACGTCACTAGCTGTTAACATTTTATGATTCCATTAGCAAAGCGATTCAGCATTTAAAAGTTAATCCAATCGGATCTATTACAGATCATAGATTGTCTAACTAACTACAGCTCTTCCAGACAAACTTCCTTCAACTTGAACTATTGTTTACTTTTTCCGCCCCACTAGCAATCTACATACTAAACAAATATTTGTAAGGGTTTTTTTATGTTTTTGACAATACTTTTGATAACCGTTGATGACAAATAGCAGGCACAACAGCTGTATTGAGCTACGTGTAGGGCATATTCAAATAGTTATAGATTGAATTCGAATGTTTTGAGTTCCCCCTGAAGGGGACTTCCGATTCCGCATAACACAGAAATCAGACAATTCCGACTTAAATTCCATATAAATCATAAAAATGCAACAAGACACCCCCTAAAGATGATATCAGAACTATGGAATAACTATTGTTTAAGCACATTTTAAAGCGCGTGAACAAAATAATTAAACTTCTTGAATGGCCGTTCACACTCTCACCATTCATCTGGGTTATTATGTTTGCTAGTGACTTTATAAAACGATTTATTTATATATTTCTTATTTTATAGCGCCATTGTCGTCATCGGTGGAGGCGATAAGTGCCTCAGGTGACGTCTTTGTCCGAGTACAATGGACAAAACTTTTTAGACTCGGATTTTTGAACTCCGCTCAAAAACAAAACTTTGCCAAAATCATTCAAGGACAATGTTAATCATTATGTGGGGCATTCAACGCGCTCGTATAATTGCCGTTTAAGTTAATCGCTCAACTAGCTATATAATAAAGCACGGTCCGTTTGATGGCTAAGCCAAAAATTTCAAACAAATACCTGATACGTTCAGTGTGACATGTTTAAATCCGAGAGGAAAACGAAGAAACACACACAAAAACTGGTAATGTCATTAAGAAGCCTGCATCAGGCTGAATTAACTTGTTTTAGATTTGTGCGTTTTGCTTTGATTAACGGTTCAAATACCGATACAAAGACCTTCGAAAGGTTATTGAATCGTAAAAAGGTTTGCAGTTAGCGAAAAACGCATTCTGACGAGAGGCTAGAGCGTAACTAAAGATTAATAATCAAATCCTCAAGAAGAATCTTAATTCAATAAGAACTTTTTGACCTAGTAACATAATAAACCACTTCAGCACCAATTTGTTATCTAGAGTGGACAATTAAGGTTTATCTGAAAACATTCAAGGAATTAAACTAATCAGAAAGATTACTGAAGTATTCATTATCAAGAGCATTGTTTATTGCATTGATCTGGAATTACGATTACTTATAGAATCCAAGACATTGAACTTAATCTCAAAGATTACTTAAATATTCCTTATCAAGGAAAAATTGTATTGCATTGATGTGGAAAAGAGATCTTGAATGGATCCTCTATAAGATGTTTGATATTTGAAGTACTGCGCCATTCGACGTTCTTTATCACCTCCAAGCTCTTCAAGCCTAAGAACCATTTTTACTCTCTCACATACAATAGTGCAGTAAACTTGTTTTGGACAAGTTCAGGGAAACTGATAAGTAACTGATAACTTTGCTAAAGTCAGAGCCTTTAAGTACACGTTTTCTTGAACTAACAAAAAATACAGCAAAATTGATATTGATATTGATATCGGTAGAACAGGTTTAACAGCAGCAAGTGCATCTTCCAGTCTGTCTGGATCAGCTTTTTATTTGAAATTTATAATATTTATTAATTATAAGCCATTAATTTCTCAAAAAAAAGAGGAAGATTTGGCACTGTAAAAAGAGAAGATGCTAGGCAACCGCTTATATTTTATTCAGTGGAAGATCTCTGTCAGTCATTCCATATTAAATGTTAAGTACCCGCGGACCACAGATCACTGACACCGCAGGTCGGTGAGTAAAAATAACGCTGCTCGACGTTTGCAACACGATTAAGCTCAGGGAAAATATCAGAAAATATCAGGGAAAATGTCAGCAACCACAACAATTTGTATTGAAAATTATAATTTAATTGCTTGTGTATATTGAGCTCGCGGTTTCTGTTTTTCAGCGGCCTGGGAATGCCTGGCCATGCCAATTTAAATTCACTAAATTACAATTGTTTTATTTTGTTTAATTTTTTTTCATAATTTCAAATTAAACTCTAGTTCGTTTTCGCATTTCACACACTTTTATTATTGGCAATTCGCTGAGCTGAGTACGAGTTTTTATAACTCGCTCACTATCTCTATTGTGCACCTGATTACTATATATGCCCGGATTATATATACTCTCGGTTCTAATCAAAAACACTGCTCGACAGCACCTCGCCGATGTTGAGCGTTTGAAGGCAACGATCCGACTGCCTCCAGCCAAGTGCCGGAGATTTAAATTTAAATAAGATTTTTGCAAAGATCTGACCAGAACGGAACAGAGTTACCAAGTAGTCCCTATGGAGAAAGAAGTCACCTCCTCTCTGTTTGCCTTTTTAGATGAAATTGCTAATAAATAATATTTATTGCTGCGGAAATTGTCATATTTCTAAACTGATTGATTGACAGCCAGTTAAGAAGAATTATGTATTTGGTAATCACTTTTTTGCATCGTTTGTAAGGAAACCATTTTTTAGTTACTATTTAGCTAGGCAAGGAAATCGTAAATACTTTACCCTGATTTAATAAAATCTTAAAGTATGGCGATAAGATAGAATCCCCCAAAAGCGAACTGACATCGTATTTAAGACCCTGTTATTTATCACAAAAATTACGATCGCTTGCAAAAACGAATATAAATCACTTTTGATTTGGAAAATAGATTATAGAGTAATGTGATAGGCAGGAATTGACTGTTGAACGAATTAAAGCTATGATATCTCACAGTTGTTTTTAATATTTATTAATGATTTCTGTTGTGAAAGTAGAACCATTGATAAGGTAATAAAATTATAATGATTTCCAATTTGCAAGTTTTATATGTATGAAAAGAGATTTTTAAAATCATCAGGATTTTTCTTATTTTTGTGACTGGTCAGAAACTCCATGAGTTTTGTTTCTGAGTTGTCCAACTAAAGAGATGATCAATAAATACTTATTTATAAAGCGAACTTCATAAAAAAATTACGTCGGTTTCTATGTGAAAACATTCATTCTGCTCAGTTTATTTTCACTAAATCTTTCAATAACGTAATGATGACTAAAAGTAATTCATGAGTAAGTTAACATCTTAATAATAATAATAATTTATAATATCATAAAAATAACAATATTTTACATTGGATAGAAGGGTGTCTAAAAAATGGTTTTGCGGTTGTTGTTAGACAAGATCATCTAACTCTTATGGTCCCCTTAAAATAGCCATATCCGACTTCCTACGTGCTCTAGCAATTGCAGCCCTTTAATCAGTCTCAGACAAACTTGCCTCACCTGAGTCTGCGATGATTGGTGAATCTTCTAATCACACACTGATTTGATTTCTTCAAGGAACAATGGAGACTGTGGATGAGGGGAATTCGGGACAGACACTTGATGTTATGCATGACAAGCTGTGATTATACTTAGTTCAGAATAAAAACTGTACGAGAGGGGATCGTTCTATCAATGATGCCTTGTCGGTCTGCCTGTTATATTTTAAGTTGATAAGA